ACTATAAACTTCAATAGCCAACTCAAATGTTGAAAAACAAAAAGATTATGCAGAGTTACCTCACCTAGAAAAATCCCGATATACAGTTTATAGTTTGCTCTACGTTTTGTGTTTCAATATCCGGATAGGACTTTTTACCAAACATACAAATTCAGAAAAATGAGGAACTCGTCAAACCTTTGACATCGGATTTGTCTTGTTACTTACTGTTAGTATATAGTGTTCAATCGACCATAGCACTCATTTCCTGATGGGAATGTCCTGTTACATAGTTTGTGGATTGAAAGTGATCATTGGTAAGATTATTTCATACTAAATCGTGATGTAGCAACTTTGAAATAAAATTGGGTATCCGACCAAATCTGAATGACATAGGTATTTGATCTGGCACTTGCTTAACAATTGTACATTTATTTCATTCCACTATGATTACAATACCAATAAATCAAAATAACATCAACAATACAGAAAAATGTTTTTTTCTCCAAACGGCATAAAAATTGGCTTTTCTAGGACCGTTAACAGGAAGCAAATAGGTACTTTCTCTGCCTAGGCAGAAAAATGTTGCTGCTGTGCAACGTTCCATGTGATTTTAATGAAATTGGTGAACAAAATTGACACTGACATTGGGTGAACGCGAAATGATGGAGTTTTCATGAGTAATATCACGATGTTCTGAATATTCAAGATGATTGTGTTGCCGAGCAACACCACGAGTCTGTCAGTACCTACTCTAACACAATTGAGTTAACATTGGAATACAGAATTAATATATTCAGAACAGAATGGTATTTTGCTGGACTATTTCACATTAACCGTTCACGAAGCATAAGAAACATTTACTATAAATAAGTGATTTATTCTGACAAGTACGGCCATATAGTAGGAGAGCCGGCTGTCTGTCCGGTCATCTGATAACGAAATGTTGCATGTTCCAAAAGCATGTAAAAAACATTGTTTCGAACGGTGTCTGAGCCAATCACTATCCTGATCAAAATGATTGAAAAATGGCACTTTCCTGTGCGTTAATTTGCACTCGATTTCGCGATTAGATAACGAGATGAGAATTATGCCATTCGATACCTACCAATTGAATAATAGATCTCCAAAACCTTCTTTTGCCACCCCTTAATCCAGACCCAATATTTTGTATGTACTCAAAAATGCAGACTCCAGATACAAAAACCAGTATGATAAAACAAAGAAGGAATACAACCTTAAGTTGTTAGAAGGAAGGTCGAAAATGTATCATAATCGAATTTGTGAATCTGACTATGAGAACAAAACCAAAATCAAGCAAATGATATACAATTGTTAGGACAGCCTGATGAAATCGATAATAGGGAAACGATTTCATGATAAAAATTCCATGTAAATTACTGGATCAGCTAAATTATATACCTTTCTCAACCAACATCAAATCATGTAACGAGTCTATATTCATCCAACCAGTAGACGCAAATGAAATCTTGGAAATAGTTAGGAAATTAAAAAAATAAGTCAAGTATTGGTGATGATGAGATTCCTGTGAGTGTAATCAAATCTGTCATCTTAGATATAATAGAACATTCATAGTAAACAACTCACTAAGACACGGTATTTATCCAGAAAATTTGAAATTGGCATTAGTAAAACCATTGTACAAAAAGGAAGATACATCTGATATTGAAAATTATAGACCTATAAGCTTGATGTCATCCTTCTCAAAAAATGTTGAAAAAGTCATGATGTCTTGGTTTCAAAGGAATAATTTCCTGACTTGCCATCAACACGGTTACCAAAAGGGAAAATCCACCCAAACTGCAGTTTTCGAATTCGTGCAGAATTCTATAGAAGCACTCAAAAATAAAGAACTTGTACTAGGAACTTTTGACTTGCCCAAGGCGTATTGACAGCCTACATCATGATATACTACTGTACAAACTGGACAAATATGGAGTCAGTGGACCTGCGCTTAGTTGGTTTAGGTCATATTTGTTGAAGACAAAGCAAAGAGTAGTAATTTGAAAAGACAACAAAACAGTCAAATCAGAAATCAATGAAATATCGAACACTGGTGTTCCACAAGGCAGTATTATAGGCCCTCTACTTTTTATAATTTACATCAACGACCTGATAGAAAATCTTGATCAGAACAAATGTTGTTTCACCAACTATGTAGATTTGATAATGAATATTAATCATATTCTCAAAGTAACAAATGAGTGGTTTACAATGAACAAACAAATTCTGAATGAAAGCAGAACAAATTTTTTGTTTCTCACAACCAATCATCCCAGATCTGATATTCCAACACATATTGAAATTGATAATCAAAATGTGAGCATGTCAGAATATGTGAAGATGAATCGCATCAATAATATAAGTGGAAAATTGAACTCGTCTGGTTATAGCATGAGAATTATTGCTAAATATGTCAAGTACCATACAGTTAAGATGGTTCACCATGCAAACGTAGTCAATCATGAGGTATGGTATCATATTCTATGGAAGTAGCAGGGCCGCAAACGCGATTTTCATAATCCAGAAGAGAATTCTCAGAATTCTCCGGAACTTGAAACCTGGAGATTCATGCAGAGGTTTATTCAGAAAGAATAAACTACTCACCTTCTATTCAATGTTCATTCAAGAGTGATACCAGACACTCTAACTACACATATCCAGCACCCAAATTGCGATAAACTGAGTCCAGTGCATTATACTTTTGTATTAAATTTTATAACAAACTCTCTAGTGATATCAAATCGACAAAATCATTAGCAGAATTCAAGAAAACAATTTTCAAGTTGTTGGTTAACATCGAACCATATGATGTGACATTCATGAACTTTCGAATCAAATAATCTCGGAAATATTTGTGGAACTCACAAGTACCTATCATATTCTTTTGCTGACGATTGTTTCATTTAATCGTACTTTATGTGATCACTTTTATATATTATTGAAGTATTCGTCGAAATAAAATGTATTTATCATTATTATTATTATTAATCTGAGCCAAATCCACGGCACAGCGCTGTATTTGCTGTCGTTATTCCAGATATACTTCCGTCATGTGATAACGAGTTGCAACAAGAAACAAATGAAAAGGAATAATGTCCCATTTGCGAAAATTCAAATGTGACGCGATTCAAACTGAGCTGAGTAAGTGGCAGAGCGTCCCTGCCTAGAGATAATATCCGATGGACCAGTCAGAAACTCATGTGGTGCTCGCACTACAAGCACTGGTCCATCGGATATCATCTTTCGAGAGGGGCAAAATATTCTCGGAAATACTGACGCTCTGCCACGAACCTAGCTCAGTTTAAATCGCGTCAAGTTTGGATATTCGCAAAAGGGACATTATTCCTTTTCATTCGCTCTTTGTTTCAATTCGTTATCACATGACGAAAGTATGTCCGGAATATCGGCAGCATATAAATCGCAGTGTCGTGGATTTGGCTCAGAATAAGGGGTGGAACAGGTAGGTTTTTGAATTGGTATCGAATGGCATAATGGGCGTGTACACCTTAGTAGAATTTTTAACTCAAACCATGTTTATAATGATCCTTTTATACATAAATGATGATTTAAGACATAATTCGATCGAAAAATTAACTGGAATGTTTTATTTTTGTACATAAATAATAGTACCTTCTGAAAACAGACCCTCTTATGACGTAGAAACCTCATCTCGCCATAGTTAAAAGAAAATACCAAACGCCCGACGGAGACTGAGGCAACTGATATATTAATTTTTTCAACTGTGATCTCGCGCTAATTCACTCTGTCAGAAATCATGTATCATTCATCTCTGTCTGGAATAGTCTTGTTTCAGTATTATGGTTTTGACCTCACATCATCGCTTCGTTTTCAGAGGTCCAAAAAATCGGGGATTTCAATAATTTTTTATAAAACGTAGGGAGCTCACAGCATGAAACGGTTTGCGGTGGTGAGCAAGTTTGGGTGAGCTCTATCGAATTATGAAATAATTTTTTTTTGTATTATAAGCCCATTGTCATCTCGTTATAAAATCGCGAGATTAAGTGCAAATTACCGCACAGGAAAGTGCAATTTTTCAATCATTTAGCTGAGGATAGTATAATTTCGTTATCAGATGACGGTCTAAATTTGCAGCCGGCTCTGATAATTAGTTCATGCCAAAGTGACAGACTTTCCTTCGTTATCCAAGGTTATATTGTTGAAAACATCAACGCTGATATAAAAAGAATTGAAAGATAACAAATGTTTGAGCGATGAGCACACGTTGATACACAAAATTGGTTTAATAACATTTGGAGAAGGAAGGATATGTTTCACATGGCAGCAAAGTAGATTGACTGCCTAGTAAAACATATAACTATTGTTCCAGGTCATCTGGTATTGGCTATCACATTTTTATGCCATTAGAAAATAAATAATTAGAGCCGTGCATCAAAATATACCTATATGATGATTTAGCAAAGACTTATTTCTCAAAAACTTTGGTGGAACATTTACTTTGAAATTCTGTTTGTTGTTGGTGTTCTCAGTGATTGTCATAATGAATCACTGTTTTTTTTCTTCAGTGTTACTTTGCTCAATAAGTGATAAGTGAAACACTGATATTTTCAAGAGCGAATAACGCAAAAACCGTTAGAGCTAGACAATTTGAATTAGAGTAAATTTTTTTGTACAATTAAACGGTCATTTAGATTGTTGACCCATTTGAACCATTTGCAATTAGAAAACAATTAATGTTTGAGAATAGGGGGCAGGTAATCCATCTAATTCCTACAATAGTATCATATATTTAAGAAGACCAATTCCTACCTTATTTCCCTTGGTTCTCACGATGTTCTCTGAACATTACAGGATATCCCTTTTCGTGAGAAACAGAACATAAAAAAAATACAACTTTCATTAGGAATAATGATAATCGATTATAATATATATATATAAATATCGATCACGAAAGTATTATAGTTACATCGGAATATAACGAAGCAAAAAGTCTCGCAAAAAGTGAAAGTTTTCCTTACCTCTAATTTCTTTGAATATTCCTCCACTAGAACCTCTTGTTGTTTCCTCAGTTCTTCATTTTTCTCCAGGAGAGCTTTCCCCAACTCTGCGGCCAATACAATATCATTCTCTTTTTGTTGTAATTGAGTCCAAATGTCTTCGCTCATATTTTGAGCTTGAGCTTCATCGTGTGAACTACGGTTTTCCATTTCTACTATGTAATCTTCTAAAGATTTTAGCATTGCTCAAAGGAACACAAGCTCCAAATTGGGGGGATACGGAGGTGGTATGTTAAACATTTTGAAGATTGGATGATCTAATAGGTACACTGAAAAAAAATGAGTAGACATGTACTTATTGACTATATCTCGCGAGATATCTCGTATCTTATAGCAATAGCAATATAATATTTATATTAATAACAGGTGAGAATAATACTGAAGCTGATGTGTGGAGAGTAGGGATTGAGAGAAGAGGAATTGTTTTATGTAATACTTCAGTTGCCAACATTGGTTGACATTTTTGGTCCACTTACATCTCGTCGATAACCGCTGCAGCATAATTTTAATGGACATAACACCCGAAGGCCCATCGATAAAGTAACGACAATAAATTAGGTGTCATCAGATCAAGGTATGTGGTTTATCTATCACGAGGGATGAATCACGTGGGAAGTCCAGTGTACCCGAGACGGGAAGTCCGGGTACCTAGTCTTCGGGAATTCCAGAAACTCCTTTTGGAAACTCCGGAAATGCATTGGGTAGTCCGAGTACTCTCAGGGAAGTCCGGAGACTGGTTGGGAAGTCCGGGAATTCTTTGTGAAGTCCGGGAATTCCTTGGGTAGTCCGAGTAGTCTTTGGAGTTTCCTAGGAATTCCTTGAGAAGTCTGTGAATTTCTATGGAAGTCTCTGAATATATCTTGGAAATAATTTGTTCGTGTTCGTGCTTTTTCTAAAGACGACTAATTATTATAGTAATCTATAAGAGTTGACTTAAATCAGTCATATCCATTATGACAAATGAATATTAATGTAATTTCGCAACGTAGTATACATATCTAGTATTCAAACATAACATATATAAATTTTATAAAACTGACATGTAAACATTGTGAACTTATTGTATGGGTGTGGAAGCATCAACAACGGTTGTTTGCTTTAGACCTCCTAGATACGCTCTGTATGGTGAAATAATCTGTGAATCAGAATCTACCCCTCAACAACCCTGAGAAGTAGACGAATCTTAAACATTTGAGATATTCGTTGCCCGAGGTCTTTTGATGGAAATGAAGTTTCCCAGACCTGCTAAATATAATGGGAAATAATTTGTGAACAAAAAACTACCCCTCAACTACCCTAAGAAGTAAACGATTGACTAGTGGTGCCCACGAGAGTCTCGTTTTCGAGAGTCTCGCATGGTCTCGTCTCGTTTTCGAGACAAGACTCGAGACGAGACTCGGACAAGACGAGACGAGACTTTGATTGGTGTCGTCTCGTGCAAGACTTCTCGTGTCTCGTGCGCGAGAGTCTCGCAGGTAAATATTTCTGCGTGCCGACTGCAGACTTGAGACATTCATTCACCACGGAAAAAAGGATTTGTTGCATCAACAAATTATTTATGCTTGAGTTATTTTTGTTCGACTGAGCAATTTTTTTTTAATCAACCAGATACATGATTATTCCATGGAAGCAGCTTGTTCAAATCAAGAATGTAGTCTAATTGAATCAACAGTATAATATCAATTCCATCAACAAAATATATGGTTTCTTCAAAAACAAATTATGTCGATCCAAAATAATGTCGATGTTGATCCAACTATAAGCATTTCGTTGATTTGATCAAAAAATGATCATTTTGATGAGAATATATCTTTGAAACAGCATACAAGTTTTCTTATTCCGATGTATCAATGAACTGGTTTCGAACGGAACATTTGCTTGAATAGAGCAACGAAATATGTAATATCCGAGGTAATATCAATGAAATATTTTGTTCATTCTACATTCGTTCTACATCAACTTAAATGTTTGCCTCTAGATGGCGATCATTTCGCCTCGTCTATGCCTGCCTCGAGTTCATTATATACGTGAAGCCTGATTCTTCGTGTTTGAAATATCAGCTGGATAAATCGAACTTAGGATGATTAGCAATCCGAAATGGTTTTCCACCAGCTAAAGAGAAGTAAAGACTAAAGATCTATGCTAGGAGTCGACTAGTTTCCTAGTTTTGTTTATTCTATTGATGTGAAATTTTAGAGAATTTCCGAATATTGAATTTTTTTCAACAAAACAATTTGTCGAATGGATATACAGGGTGTTCATTTGAAAACTTCCCACCTCGAATTCCTCGAAACATGAAGGTTTTTAAAAAAATCGCCGAAATACGTAAAAATAATTATCGAGGGGAACAACTTTTTAAGCAAAAATTGCTTCGCCTCCTTCTACCCCCTGCCCTCAGGAGCTACCCCCCTAAAAATCTTAAATGGTAAGGGGTATCGAGTGATAGCTAATTTGAAAGGTCTTTTCAATTCCTTTATTGTGGCGTTCGATTTTTCAAAATCGGTAGATTCGTTTTCGAGATAAAAAAAAAATCTTTATTTATCTTGATTTGTTGAGATAGAAAAAAAAAACACGAAAATATAACTTCTCATTGTGTTCAAGTGTTCAAAAACCAACATAAACAGCAATTCGGGAGATTAGACGTGGCAACAACCGAATAACAACCCGAATTTTTTTCCGTCTTCTTTTTATCAACACAGATAACATGGGCGAACTGTATTTATTCTTATACCTGTTTAGTTTTTTATAGTTGCTAAGGAAAAGAGAGAATTTAATTTGCTGTCAGTTACCTTTGTGACAATCTTGACATAGTGAAAATTAATTCATTGATTCAGATTTTACTTTCAAAATGGTTTACACACTAGCCGAAAGAGTGGAAATGATTCTAATTTATGGTGCACAAAATCAATGTTCTCGGCAAACTGCCGTCACATTTAACGCCAGACATCCGGACAAGATAACTTCGCATAGGTATGTTTTGGACCTTGTTGCTAACTGAAACTGGATCTGTTGCAAATAAAAAACGTAATCATCGTAGAGTTTTGGATGAAGCCGCTCAAGTTGAAGTTTTGGGTCATTTTGACATAAATCCTAATACTTCATTACGCAAAATTGTTGAAGCAACTGGTATTTCATTAGGCTCTGTACACACAGTTACTTATTAATTACATAAATCCGAGCATAAATCTCATTCATTCAAAATGAAAATATTGCAAGAGTTAACCGAAGATGATTTCGATAGGAGACTTCAGTTTTGTGAACAAATGACTGCAGCGATTAATGATAATACCATTCATGTAAAGAATATCTGCTTCAGTGATGCATGCACATTTTATCCAAATGGATTTGTTAATAAGCATAACTGCAGGTATTGGAGCAATGAGAATCCTCATGCTTTTGTAGAAGGGCATACTCAGTACCCTCAAAAAATTAATGTATGGGCAGGCAGTTAAGGAAACAAAGTGATTGGGCCATTGTTTGTTAATGGGAATTTAAATGGAGGCATTTATTCAGATATGTTGGAAAATACCATCAATCCGCTTATCACTGAAACTATTGAAAACCAAATTGAAGACAATGAAAATCGTATGCTTGATGAGGCTGAAATATATTTCCAGCAAGACGGTGCTCCTCCTCACTATGTTCTTCCGGTTCGGCAATGGCTAGACGACGAGTTTCCAGATAAATGGATAGGGCGAAGAGGGCCTCTATAGAATGGCCTGCTATATCTCCTGACTTGATGCCATTAGACTTTTTTCTATGAGGACATTTGGAATCTATTGTGTTCACTCCCCAACCTGAAAGTTTGGATGAACTTCGTCAACGCATCATCGAAAGCTGCCGTGATCTTCCACAACATGTTTTTGAAAATGTCCGTCAGGAATTTGAACATCGCCTATATCATTGTTTGGCCAATAACGGGCAACATTTTGAACACTTATTGAAATAAAAAGTTATATTTTCTTTTTTTTTTCTATCTGAACAAATTAAGATAAATACAGATTTTTCTAATTATCTCGAAAACAAATCGACCGATTTTGAAAAATAAAGGAATTAAAAGGAACTTTCAAATGAGCTATCACTCGATACCCCTTACCATTCAAGATTTTTGGGGGGGTAGCTCCTGAGGGCAGGGGGTAAAAGGAGGCGAAGCAATTTTTGCTTAAAAAGTTGTCCCCCTCGATAAATTTTTTTACGTGTTTCGGCGATTTTTTTAAAAACCTTCCTGTTTCGAGGAATTCGAGGTGGGAAGTTTTCAAATGAACACCCTGTATAGTTTCTCTTGAATCAACAAAATATTTCATTGAATTAACCAAATATTTCATTGAATCAACCAAATATTTCTTTGAATCAACCAAATATTTCGTTGAATCAACTAAATATTTGATTTAATCAATATCTTATTTTGAATCAAACAAAATGTTCGTTTGAGCCAATTCAATATCTCTCCGTAAACAATTCATGGATGTGCTCGATTGAAGAAGATCCAGAGTTCATGCAAGACATATTCACTTGATTCAAACTTCAAATTCGCTCTGAAACAAGATATAGATTTACTCATTCCAAGATTTTATTTTGTCGAGTATTTTGTCGTGCATATAATATGACACTTTTATTTGCTCCATTCAATTAAATTTGGCTTGATTCAACAATTCCTTTTTTCCGTGTAATACAATATATTTAGAAATAATTCAGACTATTTAGCACTGATAGACAAAGCATTTCATTCATAAATACTTTGAAAACAAAATCCATGATTGTTGTCATTCTGTGCTAAACAGTCTAATAAGATAAAGAATAACTTTCGTTTTGACGGGCCGCCGACGCCACGGATGCATCGCCTATCGCCGAGGCCTATCGCCTATATTAGGTACTTATTTTTCAACGAGTTTTTGAGTTTTTCCATGAATAATGTTATTTTTGTTTTGTAATGTTCTCTTCCTACTTCTACATTATACCTAAAAAGTAGGTAAGGTAAATATCCCGTACTAGACTGGAACAAGATTATATGCATGACGAAATTGCGATACATTTGCGAGACTCTCGTACGAGACGCGAGACAAGACGAGACTCGACGCTTCGAGACGAGACTCGAGACAAGACTCGGCGAGACGAGACTTTATGAAAGTCTCGTCTCGTTGGTCTCGTTTGAATCAACGATTCTCAAAACTGGTGATATATCCGTGTCTCGAATAATTCATCTGCATCAAAAAACTTCGGCCAACGGGAATGTCAACTGATTTAAATGTGATCTCTTTCAGAGGGTTGTTGAGTGGTAGTTTTTGGATCACAAATTATTTCACCCCATAAGGCATATTCCGGCATATTCAGTATAAGTCTAAAATAATGCATTTTCATAAAAAACAATGAGCAACAGATATATCTTTTTTTTTATTCATCTACTTCCGATTCTACTTCTAGAGGGTGTTGAGGGGTAGTTTTTGGATGACAATTCATTTCATCTCACAGAGCGTATTCAACAGGGCTAAAATAAATGGGAATTTCAACTGATTCAAGATTTTTCTATTTCGGAGGATTGTTAACGGGTAGTTTTTGATTCACAGATTATTTCACCGTTTACATCGTGTTCAGCAGGCCTAGAATAAGTCATATCCATCAAAAAAACTTCGAGCAACTGAAATTACTCGGAAATTAGAAGATCAATCAAGATTTTTCAAATTCGCAGGAGGATTCGTAGACATGGTCTCCCAGAATATCAGTAACCCTGCAGTAAAAATAAGAATGAAATGTTCCTGTCAACATGTATCCGAAAATGCTTTCTAAGAGCGCTACATCCCTTCGAAGGTAGGTCCCTAAAGGCAGTTCTCTATAATTATCTTTACTAGTTTTTTTTTCATGTTATTTCATCCGATTTTAGAAATAATGTCAATTCTCAATTTCAGAGGATTTTCATTTTTCATGCTCACTCTTTTGGATACTCAACAGATATAATTCAATGTTCGACGTGGCAAATAGCTAGGAAAGTAGTTGTTTTCTGTTGAATATTCAGAATGATATTATTTACAAATCTTTATGTGAAGGAGAATGCAAATTCTCTACTTCAGAATATTTTGTTTTCAAATTCTTATCGTGTATGTTATAGATGTAATTCAATGTTCGTCGTTGCATATAGCCAGGAAAGAAGTAGTTTTCTGTTGAAAACACCGGGATAGAAATGATATTTTCATCACATAGAGAATGCGAATACTCAATGTATTTCTTCATAAATATATCCTTTCTTGAAAAGGAACATTCTCATATATATTCATGAACACAAAAAACATTGATAAATATATAAAGAAATACATTGAGAATTCGCATTCTCCATGTGATGAAAATATCAATTCTTTCACGGTTTTTTCAACAGAAAACAACTACTTTCCTGGCTATATGCCACGATGAATATTGAATTACATCCGATTACATCTATTGAATACACACGATGAGAATTTGAAAACAAAATCTTCTGAAGTAGAGAATTTGCATTCTCCTCCATATATTCAAATATTATATTATGTAACAAGTGTTATAAACGTCCTTTTAGTAACGAGTATTTTGAGTACGAGCGGAGCGAGTGTTTGATAAACGAGTGTCTGGAAGAGTTTATAAACGCGTTACATACTATGCTTTTTCTACGAACTCCGAAAACAACATTAACATTCCTGTTATTCCTGCTAACCTACAAAATATTTAGAAACGAATGGGAATTGAGAACATATATTACATACAACTGCATGCAACCAGCGAGACACGTGATATTGGTTGTATGAGTTATTGATGAGAAGCAGCAGCAAACTTTGTCGCTCTGCCCTGTATATCGAACATAGGAGCCGAAAATGAAAATGGACCTATAAAAGTCGAGTTATTCCCTCGGGGTATTCCTTGAGAAGTCCATGAATTCTTCTGGAAGTACGGGAATTCCTTAGGAAGTCCGGGAAAATATTTGGGAAGTCCGGGAATTCCATGGGTCCAGGTAGTCTTTGGAAATTCCCGGTATTCTTTAGGAAGTGCGGGAATTCTTTGGGTATTCCTTCACTTCACAAACGATATAAGATTTCCACAAAATTCGTTACCACACGACATGTTCTGCTAACACAGTAGTTTCTTCAGATGAAATACTGGTACAATATACGAAACATCCATTGGCTTTCCTGACTTTTATATCTTACTCTCTCAACCTGGGATATTAGGATTACCTGATGTGGAAAGGTTCGATAAACCTTCACTTTCGGAAAGTGGGCACAATATCTACATTGAAATACGATGTATCGAAAACTTGAAAGGGTTGATAGCGAATATATAATATTATGACCTACTGAGAAAACAAATTCAACATCGTTGAATTATGGAGGTCTAGGAGATCTCGTTAAGTAAAATCGATAGTAAAATGTTAGAATTTTGCGTTTGTTGATTTCTAGGTATTCAAAATGATTGAGTTTCATTCCTCGATTTTCAACGTGTAGAATTTCGGGTAATTTTGCACTTATCACTCGACTTATCATGCGATGGGTTTTTTTTAGAAATTTTTTTTTTGTACTTACGTATTTTTGTCTGACAAACATACGAATTTGATAATGAAAATGTGAACAAACCACTATTTATCGAGATATTTCAAGAAAAAGTTCGAAATTTTGCCTTATTTCCCCCCTTGTGTTGGATGCATTTACAGGTCGTACTTGCTCTTTTCATTTTGTCATTGGACACTTTATATACTCAAGATGTACTTCAATGACACATTTTAAGCTAGAAAATTCAACAGGAAATAAGATATTCATAGCGAGTTTTTCCTATTTAGTGAACAAGCATACCAGATGACGGCCATTTAATCCATCCAATCCAGGCAATCCAAATACGAGATGTCAAATGTCAATAGATTGCTTTGGAATGACATTACACACGCCATTATTTCAAATGATATTCATCTTTCTTTTCACTAAATATGGATAAATTCACAAGAAAATCATATTTCTAGTTGACTCATACAATAAAAAAAATGTGTCCAACATTGTGCGATATATATATAAATTGTCCAATGATGGAAAAAGAAGGGCAAATTGTTCTAAATGCGATCCAAATCAGGCGGAAAAGAAGGCGAAATTTGTAACTTTATTGGGAAATATCTCAATAAATAATGGTTTGTTCACATTTTCATTATCAAATTCGTGTTTTTCAGACAAAAATATACGTAAGTACCAAAAAAAAATTTCGGAAAAAACCGGAAAAAACCCATCGCATGATAAGTGCAAAATTGCCGAATTTCGGAATAACCATGAAAGCTATGGTTTTCTTCTATTATATGGTTCGCGTATGTTGAATAAAAAATCCATCTTTTATGTTCATGAATGCGCTGATTGTACATTAGACCTGTCTGACCGATATATACCTTGGGACAAAATCCATAGTTAAGTTTCTATACCTACCCCTGATTTTTAGAATTTAGAAGTTCTGTCTATATTATTGATATGATGAACCTTCCAAGGTGTATAATTTGTTCTATGTGCAACTTTTGAGCCCTGTTTATGTGGAAATGTGGAAATGAAGGTAATTTTTCAGTTGATGATCCGAAATAGGTTAAAGTTCCATAATTTTGATAATTGTTTCTGATAGTGGGATAATAAACTTATTGAATTGCTTTATTACGGAGTTTTTCAGAAAGAATACTGTCTATCAAATTAACATTGTATCTTGTATCCGTTGTTGACTGCAATCTATTTTATGATATTAAGTTCTTTATTGAAACTTAATTCTGGAAGAAGGACGGTCAGTCAGTAAGAAACGGTAAGAGAATTTCAAACTCTGTCCATTATTCTCTCTTCTCCCTTTTGATGATGTATGAATAAATCAGCTGCAATACCTATAGCTCAGAAACAAAACAAGAATAGACTCATATTGATAGTAACTTTTAGTCTTATATCTATGGTCTTATTCAAATAATAAGGTGTTCCCCTTCGTGTACCTACCACCTAGAGTGATGGTACATTCTTTCAAATACCTACCCTGTATGTAGCGAAAATCGAACGCAACCTCACAATAATTACCGTTATCTACGAGGTTATCTTTGAAGCAAACAATGGAATTTGTAGGTAACTAAGGAACTCACCTTTAAAATTATTAAATATCCGACAGGTAAAAAAAGGTAAATATTACTTTATAAACACTTATTGCACTAACAGATAAGTTTAAAACCACATTTAAAAACCACGAACTAAAAACAACTCGGATTATCCAATCACGTCAGGTGAATTTACCTGTGCGAGACACACCACAATATACACGAAACTGAAAAGTATTCGGATCCGTAGTATCCGTAGATTGTTTGTTTTCAAACCCACCCGCGAGTATCCATGACCGACGTCAATACAGCGATGTCATGTTTCTAAAATATCAACATATGCTAGATTTATATGATTTTCACTTATTATGTACAGGGGGAGTCAGAATGAGACTGACAAACTTCATACACGGATTCCTCACCTCATTCTGAGGTGAAAAGTTCCTATCCTACAAGGTGTCGGAAGTACGAAATGTTTCCAGAACCCCTGTAGCAAAAAATATGAAACTCGTAATACCGTTCCAGATTAATCAGAGTAATCACATAATGGAGTTTTAATTTCTCAATTTTGTAAACCAGTGGCGTATAAAGGGTGTATCTAAATAACACCGAAAAAATTCAAGGGGTGTTTCCTTGTGACATATTGTTACGACAAAGGGGTACTCTAGCAAATAAAGTTCATATAAACATATATGTGTCCTGAATTGCTCCGTTTTTGAGATATAGGATGTTGAAGTTGGAAGTATTAATTGTTTTCATTTATTACCCCTCCTGTATATATAAGCTTTCAAAAATCACACAGAGGATAAAAAAGTTGTCATTTTAATAGTTCAATCTAATAAAAATATGAAACTCAGAAAAACGAGTGGTGTACACCCTAACAACACAGGGATGTCCTAGGAACGTCCCTTTTTTGTCCCGCGGTACAAGGACATGATTGGGGCATCCAGGGGATGTCGCGCAGTGGTTGTCCAGTGGACATCCCGCCCGGTACATCCCTAGATTATCCTATTCGTGTCCCTAGAATATCTGATATCCATTCACATCAGAGTCATTGAATTTCATCAAAGTATTAAGTTGCATTTTTTTGAAAATGTTTGTTTTTCTTCCGGAAAATAATCGTGATGAAAATAAAAAATAAATTTTCAGAAGTTCTTAAGAAATTACCATTTTTCGCAAACAAAAATCGTACATGCATAATGCCCCTCATTTTTAAACACCCAAGAATGATATAATAATTATACCCAAATCCTAACAAAGTTGTATTTATTCAGGTTTATGTAGCAATATTTTATAACTTTCTTTTTAGGAATCCTGCCACTTACATATAATATTTCAGTATGTCTCATTCATAAAGACAAAACGAAGAAATGTACAGTATCAGAATATTTATTCCGGGCGTCCAGGGCCGGAGAGGAGCCAGCAATATTTTGAAACTTTCTTATTAGGGATCCTGCTGCCACTCACATGGTTCAGAATTAGGATTTTTGACAACCCTGTATCTATTTCAATTAAATATCAATTGATAGTACATGAAAAGTTGAGATAGGGACATGAAATCTGTTTCGATCAATCATGAATAGTTTCGACACAAAAAATTCTTAAAGTCAAAAAATTTCGATTTTTCACACCCTATGTCTTTGTTATAATTCCCGCTAGACCCCAAGTGTGATAGATCGATGGAATCAGCTCTTCAGGGAGAATCCGAAAATGGAATGATATACAGGGTGTTCTATTAAAAAATCAAAGTTAATTGTTGCTACTTTTCAATATAAGCGGCAACGTCGCAAGGCTAAGAATATTTTAGCTCGATAGAACACAACTAATTATTCAAGGCACCAGCTTCTCAGGATAGTCCTGAGTTGCGTTCTCCAGAAACGTCTAATGTACCATCCACCGTGAATCACCCTCTATATGTAAGTGGCAGGATCCCTAATGAGAAAGTTGTCAAATTTTTCTTGCCCCTGTTCGGCCCTGGACATCCGGGAACATTGTTTCGAAGTATATTCCTTCCTTGATTATCCTAAATCAACATTCTGGAAAATTGTTATCGCAGAATGCGTAACGAAAAAAATGAAAAATATTGCTGAACTTTATTGCTAAAGTAACTGAAGACTTGGCGTAGTTAGGGTCGTATATCGCCAGATTTTTCTTCATATTTCTCCTTATACACATGAATTGTCAAATGGGTGTATGACATCAATTAGTCTTATCAATATACCTGACCTAAAAGTCATAACATATTATGCATCATGCCTAAGTGTAGAGGTTCCCAAGATATTTGCAAAAAACTCAAGATATGTCTTGAAGTCGAGACCCAATTCGCTGCGTGCCATAATCTCATATAATGATGAACTTTTATGAGAAATCACATCTTCCAACCTCCTGAACATTTTTGAATGTTAATGAGATCGAAAGCATGGTACGGGTGAGTCAGAATTAGTTCGAGAAACTTCTATTGGGTACTTTTTATTCCACACTTCATTTCGAGGTGAACATTTTATATCGGAGTATGTCTTAAAGTACAACCTATTTGAGATAATAGTTGTCGAATATGTGAATTTGATCATTACATATTACTCGAACACGCAGGTATATGAAAAAAATCGAGAGGACCATACTTTACTCCATAATTTTCTTCTCATTTGTTATACTCAGTTGCAAAATTGAGGCTATTATGAACATTGGAACAAAAAAAGACACGGTCATTTTGATCATTCTCGGTGGAAAAATAGTCATTTGGTTTTACTAGGCAGAGAAGTACAACATTAAATGCCGCGGCTGACGCCGTTTCATAGCCTAGGTGTAGCCAAGGCAAGGAACATATAATTTTTTCTCCAAATTCTTTTCAAATTCACGCAAAGTCCAAATGATCCATCATTTTCTGTTCACCCAAAGTCTTTGTCAATTTTGATACCCAATTTGATTCAAATTACTTGGAACGTTGCATACCAACAAACTTTTTTGCCTAGACAGTAAAAGTACACCTTTTCTGCCTGTTAAGTGTCATTCAAAATACACTCTTAATGACATTTCAAAAAAAAAGACGTTCCAAGTATTTTGAATCAAACCATTGAAAACTGTTGTTTAAATAGTTTGATGGTTTTGACAAAAAGATGGCTTACTATACTATTAACCTCGAGTTTGTTGATTCACTTCGGACTCACCCACAGAATCTTTTTTTGAAATTCAAAAATAAAAACTCCCTGTGACTATACCCTGGTTAATCTGGATTGGTATACCAAGTTCCAATTTTTTGCTACAGGGGTTCTGGACAAATTTAGAAAAATCTTAATTTTTTTCGTACTTTCGACACACTGTATCTCAGTCTGGATGCATTTTAGGACATAAGTTGATAGGAACTTTTCACCTTAAAATGAGGGGAGGAATCCGTGCACGATTTTTGTCAATGTTATTCTGACTCACCCTGTATATTATATGAAAATGAATCATATAAACCCTAAAAATGTGACCAAAAGTAATGTAGCTGCTACACTCATAACAACAAGATTTTGTAGTTCTTCACCATTTCAAATCTACTTCGGAAAAGACTTGGTCATTAAATACGTGATGAAAACTTCACAAACGATAAGACGAAATTCTTAATCACGATAAGTATAGTTTATTGTACAGGGTGATTCACCATAAATGTCCCCCCCTCTAGCTCACTTATTTTTTAACCGATTTAAAAATTTGAAAAATCATCCAGAATGATTTTTTTGAAATTTTTTTCCCATTGCATCAGAAAATACAGGGTACTCGGAACAAATGATATTCAGAGTACTACTTGATTTTTTCAAATAGAACACCCTGTATTTAATTGTATTTTTAGATTCTCCCTGGAGAGCTGATTTCATCAATATATCACACTTGGGGTCTAGCGGAAATGATTACAGAGATATAGGGTGTTCAAACTCCAGATTTTTCAACTTTAGTATTTTTTTGTGTCGAAACTATTCATTATTGGTCAAAACGGCTCCGAAGTCCCTTTCTCAACTTTTGATTTACTATCTACTGACATTTAATTGGAACATATACAGTGTGGTTCAAGATTCAGAATTCTGATCACTTGTATCTGTTCCAATTATTAAATGTCAGTAGATAGTAAATCGAAAGTTAAGATACGGACATGAAAGCCGTTCTGGCCGATAATGAATAGTTTCGTCACAGAAAAATACTAAAGTTGAAAAATCTCGATTTTGAACACCTTATATCTCTGTAATCATTTTCGCTAAACCCCAAGTGTGATACATTGATGAAATCAGCTCTTTAGGGAGAATCTAAGAATACAATGAAAAATAGGGTGTTCCATTTAAAAAAATCAAATAGTACCCTATAGATCGTTTGTTCCGAGCACCCTGTATTTTCTGATGCAACAAGAAAAAAATTTCTGAAAAATCATTTTGTATGATTTCTCAAATTTTTAAATCGGTTGAAAAATAAGTGAGCTAGAGGGGGACATTTATGGTGAATCACCCTGTACGCAAGTGTATAAAGTTTGGAATCACAACAACAGTCATGAAATTGAAAATTTATATTGTATTTTTCGTTTTTCTTGGGTTTTTGGTATAGGCGAAAAAAAGTTCCGTGTCACACATGCACAAAACGCTTAAGCAGCCCTTAGCCTCTATATAATATATGCCCTTGCTTCGCTCGTGTAGCTGATAGTCGCGGGCAGCTAAAGCCCACTTTCTGCCCTTGAGACACAATATACTATAGAGTAAATTAGGTAATTTCGAAATCAATTCGAACATCGAATAAACTTCTGTGCTTGGCGTTCCATATACGTGACATTTTGAAAACTTCCCACTCTTAATATCTTCCTTTCAGTAAATAATATGAAAAATCGAGGAGACAGATTAATTCTATCTTCAAGGGGGGCACATGAAATGAATACTTCTAGCCCTCTTGGAGGGGCAGATGTTACCCTCAGAATCTCGAATGGAAAGGGGGCTAGAATAACACATTTTGAATGGCATTCAATTCTTTTTCCAACGGTGTCCTAGTTAATAATTTTCTGTTGAGCAGTTGCCGAAAAATGCCGTGTATAGAGAACTTCCCACCCTTAATATCTTCCGTCCAGTGAATGATATGAAAAATCGAAAAGATAGGTCAATTTAATTCTCAAGAGGACCTCTTTGAATGCATATTTTCAGTCCTCTTGGTTCAATTCTCTTTTCAACAGTACCCTAGTTTATCTTTTTTTGATGAGCAGTTTCCGCGAAAAGGCC